TGCATTTAACTATCCTGTGGTGCCATTTGCAGTGCGTTTGTGGGGAAGGAAAATGCGGCATAATGGACTGTGAGCTTGCTCTGTTGAATCCAGGTGTAGCTTCCTTTGGCAGTGAGTGCTTGCTGGTTTTGTAGCTAGTTTGTACCTCTCTTGGAGCAGAAAATGAGCCATTTTTCTCTGAAATGAAGCACTGAGTTAGAGCACCTCTGCAGAGGGTGAGAACCATCCTCCCAACCACTATTCCACTCTGGGACAAGTAATTTCCGGGCTTAATTCACTTGCAGAATTGCTGCCTTTGAATCGTGTTCACTTTTTAAATTTTGATTCCTGTCCTAATTTAGTGTCATGAGTGCTTTCCTTGATTCCTGAGACTTTGGGAGTGTTTTTAATGTACCACATGATTTTATTTGCAGCAGTGTCAGCGCAACTTTGTCAAGAAGAAAAAACATGTTGGCAGCTAACAAGTTGTACTTGAGCAGTTGTGTTACCTTCTGTTTCAGTTAGCACAGCAAAAATCCTGAAACTTTACAGGGAAAAGGGGAGGTTCAGCCAAAACTCAGAGCCCTCTCTGAACAAGTTTCTTGGGTTTTTTCTCTTCAAACCCCAAGCATTCAATTTGTCTAAATTTGCAAGCACGTAAGTGTGTTTGAGGCCTTATGTTTAGTTTCACGTTTGCATGTGGGAGTCAGCTCGAGAGTTGAGATGCCAGATCTGCTTGTTATGTTCCAGTTTAGTGCCTACGTGTTCCTGAAAGTTGTTTGGTTTTGAGAGGATCAAGACTGGTGTGCAACAGTTCACAAGGGTGGAAACGCTGTACTTAGAAATATTCGCCAGGTATGGGATTGAAAACGGCCGGGAATGCCTGTGTGTGAGCTGTTCCAGCTAAAATTCTGTGACTGCCTTGTTGTGAGGACCATCAGCAGCGCCTCTTCTCCATTTCCATGGGAACAGATGGACTTCTGTTGATAAGAGATCTGTTAGCAAACTAGGAAACTGACGGGCAGCAGTTGAGCCACTGTGACTGTGAAACAGGGCTGACTGCAGACTGAGGACATCACATGGCAGTATGTGTTCAAATGCAGTGGCTAAAAATATCCTTCCTTCTTCCTCCTCTCGGGCACAGATGCCCCAGTGTGAAAGGAAGAGTTGCTCTGGTGTGGATTTGATTAGATCTGTAGCAGACATGGGGACGGACTGCAAAGGAATGATTTATGTTTTGACCTGTACAAAGAGCAGCAGTTTTTAACAGTTGTTGAGATAAGTAAGTGTTTGTGCCTTTTAGGTTGTTTTTTTTTTTTTTTTGCAGACTTTGAAGGAGGTGTCAGTTTAGAGCAGTGAATCTTTTAAGTTTCATTTTGTTGTTTAATTTATCTGTATTTGTACTTGGGGGAATTTTTAAAGCAAAATCCAGTGATATATGCAGTAGTTAGATTAAATTTTATAGCTTTGGTAAGTCTGGGAAAATCTTACCATAGTATTTCACTAATGCATATTAGTGGCATAAGTTTTTTGAAAGCTGAAATTTACATGACTATTCTGCAGTTGGCATAATAATAGCTGCCTGACTTTGTAGCAGCCACCAGAATTCCAGCCTTGTGCACGTGACTGCAAAGTTGTCCTGAATTTAAGGTACTTCAGTACAAGTCATTTTTGCTTGACTAAGCATTGGGAGAAGCTCCAGCAGTATCTACTTGAGACACAGAAAAAATAATTTTGTAGACATTTGTATTGTGGAGGTGACTCCTCTTGAAATGATACATGAACAGGCAGCTTTGTAAAGAAAACAGCAAATTCTGTTGCCTCTGGAAGTGGGCAGACTGAAAGACCCAGAAAGGGGAAGCGGGTGCTTACAGGGTGGCTGTGTGTGTATAAGCTCTCTGGTGCATAATACAGGGCATGGATGGCGTGGCTGTCTGCCCGGGTGCGAATGGAGCTGTGACAGCTAGTTACAATGATCCTGGGAAGGACAACCAGCTATGAGGAGACATCAGTCTGGGTGTGAAGCAGGACAAAGTCCTTGGAGCAAACAAAGGCACTGAAGAAGGAGCTGTGGAGGATTCATTAGTACAGCAGAAGTCCCTTAGGTTGGAAATGCATATGTGTGGGCAGTTCACCTTACTGCGCCTTTTATCCAGCTGGTTTTTTTCTGCTTAATGCATGCCTCAGCAATGCTCCCTCACTGGCACTGGGCTTCAGGCCAAGCATTAATGAGTACCCCAAGCCCTCTGTGATTTGGTTCCTCCAAATCTATTAGCATATCTTCAGAGCAAGATAAAGCTCATTAAAATAATTTACATTTGGGCATTAGAATTTCTGATAATTTTTAATACTTAATGCCAAAAGCACAAATATGGGGTAATGTCCTTCGTATGAAACTACGGTTTATCTGGGTTTTTTATTCTTGGAAAAAGAACAGACTGATGTATCCCTTAACTGCTCTCTGATGGTAATGAAATGGGTTTGTAGTACCCAATCTTATCAAAAGTTTGATCTGTACTATCTTTGATAAAGGAATGCATACCATTCCATAAGATCTGGCTTATTAGCAATCACATCAAATGGGCCATGTTTGTATTCTGTTCTGTTGTATAATGACTCTAGTGATGGCAGCTGGAGGTATATAACAACCAACTTCCTGGTCAAACAAGCTGTGTGCCAGAATCTTTGCATGACTGAGTTGTAGCCTGCGCCCTCTCTCACCCTGGTCTCTACGCAGTTCACTTTTGTACATACCTGTTTTTAATCTCCACCTTCCCTGCGCAGTACGGCAGAGCTGCCTGCTGGTGTCATCTACCTGTATTTCATATTCTGGAGTTGAATCAATTTCTGCACAGAACGCTGTCTCTTGTGGTCAGTACAAGGGTTGTGAGAGATGTGCACCGTTTTCTTGCTTAAAGGCAATTCAGCAGACATCAGCTGATGTGTGTCAACTCTCCATGTGCAAGCTGTTACCTCAGAGCCTGTAACGGAGCCGTACTTGAACTGCTTATGACCTGTGGTCAGATTATCCTTGCTAAATGGCTGAACTGTAGCGCGTGCATTAGCATGCACCATGCTTGTAAAGAAATAAATGGCAGCCCACTGTAGTAACTGCACAAAACACAGCATGAATATTTTTATCCATAGACAAGTACTTAGAACCTTTTAGGCATTAAAGTCTCTTCAACTGAAGATATCCTGAAATGGGCTGTAAAGGTGCAGGTTTTTGCTCACGTGAAGCTCAGTAGATGTGGCCCTGCTGCTGTGCTAGTTCCCCGATGGGAACCTGGCACCTGGGGAGGACGTACATCCTGCCATCAGCTGCCTCGGTTGGGAGTTCAGGGACAGCCAGGTAACTGTTACCCTCTGTAATTCACAGAGATTCAGATTCTGTTCTCTTTTTGCTTTACCAGATTTCATTTCAGTAGGTGTTGAGGTTTTTCTCTTTGACGTGGAGAATTCAGCAGTAGGGCAGATTGGGGTTTTGATATGTCACGTATTTTTGAAAGGCAGCAAAAATTGCTCTTTAGAGTTTGATTTTTCTGAAGCACTCCCATCATCTATAAGAATTTTAAGGTCTGTACTTGCAAATTCTTGTCTGCTTTTCCTTCTTTTTTTTTTTTTAACTTCCCCTCATCACCCTTCGAAAAAAGAAACATAGTAAGATAGCAGAAAACCCCAAAACAACCAAATATCAGAAACTGCAATAATTGCTTATGAAGATTTTGGTGTTTTGGTGGGTGTCTTCACCATAACTGCGTGTGTAGTATGTGATCTCTGGATCGGCATTCATGGTGTTTTTCTCTTTGCATTTCCTCATCTTCCCACATTCAGGCAATGCTAATCATGTGATACTTCTGTGACTTGATGCCTTAAGTACATGGGGTTTTTCCTTTTTTTAAAACTTTGTTGGCTGTTGTCACAAAGTTAAAAAAGAACCTCAAAGCTGAGAAGGAATTAAAGTGCTGGGGGCAGGTTCTGTGCAATGTTTACTTCTAAAACCAAACAAAATTTTTCTGAGGAGGGGTAGGTTCAAACTATAGCATGGATGTATTTACTGAAGATAAAACTGTTTTATTTGAAAGACTACTTTCAGGCGGAGTACAAGGCTTGCTTATTGCACTGCACCAGTTGACAGAAATTCAATGAAAAATAAAGCACTGAAGTTTTTAGAGCAAGTATGCTTTGAAGTATCAATTTGTGCTTTTAAAAGCTACCTATTCACGTGGCTCCTCTTGTGACTCCTGATCTGTCCTTCATTTTAAAGTTATAGGAAGTATCCCTTTAAAAAAAAATAAACTTTGTTCATCTACATTTGCTGTTTGTATGTGTTTAAGTTGCTTTATTAACATAAAAAATGCTCAACAGGCAAGTCTCTGTTTCTGCTGTTGGATTTAACCTGATCTTAACTTGAATCAGGAAAACCAGCTGAAGCTGCCGGTTGTATCTGCAGCTAGGCCTGTGCTAACCTTGTCATGAGGGAGTTTTTTTGTAAAAATCTTTATAATATGGATGTTGCCTAGAATCTTTAACATATCCAGTGTGTAATCAGTGCAAATGTAGAAGAGCTGTACGAAATTACACTTGTGGTGAAAGCATCAGGTTTGTCAGCTGAGTTCAGGAAAAAGTGATCATTAGAAGTGATAAAGAATCAGAATTTCTTGGCTTGCAGATTTTGGCCAGAATTTTTTGGTGATGACAGCCAACTTAATCTTTGGCACTGATCTCAGTCTAGTTATGTTGTTAAAAGTACCTGTGGACTTATAATGACTTTCTTACTAAAGCGTGAGTTCTGGCACTAAAATCCTTTGGCAATTTTAAATTACTTGTCCAACTTTTTGTTCATGGAAGTTCTGAACACTCATGAGATGCAGTGCAGCAGAACGGCTAGCACCATTTTTTTTATAGGTTCATCTTACAAGAGTCTTTGAAACAAGAATGGGAAGAATAAGCTAGTACCTTCATCAGTTTTGCCATATCTTGAAATGTGGTAAGCTTATTTTTTGGTTTGCTTCCTTCAGGTTTTGAATGAAGAATGCGATCAGAATTGGTACAAGGCAGAACTCAATGGAAAAGACGGCTTCATTCCCAAGAACTACATAGAAATGAAACCACATCCGTAAGTAGATCTCTGGTGATAGGCTCCCTTGGTCTTATTTTTGCACATCCTCTCAAACTGAAGGTTTTCTGCTGAATACTTTGCAAAATGTGCGTTACCAGATGTATTGATGTATGGATAGATAAGGATGGCTATGGAGTTGTATCTCATGTCAGGGTATTTTCTTTGTGTCAGTTCATGTATTTCTGCTGTCTTCTACTAAACTCTGGTTCTGCCCACCTTTGAGATCCTTCATCATCTGAATAAGAAACAGCGAGCTATATATACTGCCTTAGTGCAGCCAAGTGGGAAGTAAAGCAAGGATGCACAAGAAAATTCTGGAATTGTTTAAAGCCTTGGCTGCTGCAGTAACATGTCTGTTTTACCCTGATTGTGCTAGTCCACTGGGGATCACAAATGTACATTGCAATTTCTCTCTCTCATTGATTTAAATCATCATGTGTCTTCTCAGAACAGTTTTGCAGGCATTTGGGTTATACTGCGGTGATGTCTCCTGTGATAGTGATGATCAGTTTGTTCTGTAATCAGCTATGGTGTTTTGGTTTAGGGGGATAGAGCTGGCAGTTTTTCGGGTTTTGGTGTCAGAGGGAATGAACAATATCTGAGCCTGCAAGTGGGTGAATTTGGTAGTGGGTTTTAAGTGTAGTTAGTTTGACCTTTTCTGAAGATGTTTAAACTGCTGATGGCAGCTGGATGGAATTAGCTCCATGTGTCAGCAGAGCTGGGAGTCTTAACTAGTGCATTAACAACCCTGGGAAATTATGCAAAAGTTTTTATAGCATAATATTTGCTTAGCTCTAATGCAGAGCTCTCTAAGTAGTCATACAGGTCATACAAAAAGCAAATTGCAGGCAGCTGACCAGGTGTGAGAGAGAATGTTCCTTTTCTCAGACTCGTATCAAATCCTGTTGTGGGAAGGTGGCATGAGAGCTTTTCAAGAGGATTTGGAGGGAAAGCAACTGAAAATAGCTTCAAATCCTGTCCTAGGATCTGAGACTTAAATCCTCCAGCCCCACAGCTAGTCTTAAGTGCGATGTTTCTTCTTGCTTGTGTTTTGCAAATTGTACAGTTTGCTTTGTAATTGCTAGCAAATGAGGTTGAAAGGAAAATGTGCTGCCTCTCAGTCACTAGCTGAATCACCTGGATTCTGAAGGGTTAATCTGAATTGCCACACCAATTAACAAAGCGAAGATGTAAGTAGGCATAGTGGTGATACTAGAGAAGAGCTGCAGGAAACTCAGGGCAGGGAGGCATCCCTGTGAAGGCACAGCAGTGGGGTTGGGTGGCAGGGCTCCCTTTCCCTCTTTAAGGGGCAGGGGAAGAATTTGCTGGTGATGAAATGGCCTGGATCAGAGTCGTGGTGTGCATATCTCAAGTGTTTGTGTTCATCAGCTTTTCTTGAAGATATTGCTGAAGTCTCACTTTACAATATTGTAACCTATGTGGAGGAAATCAGCCAAGCTAAGTGGCTGTGCGAAGTAAAGCCAAAAGAACTGCCAAACTGCCGATTGAAATGAGTCTGAACGTGATGTGAACTTTCTGTTGTACCAGTCAGTGCGTCTCCCTCTAGCTGTGCAGCATCAGCAGTAGTGCCTGGATTTGGTTTTGCTGTGCTGACTGGGTGAGTTTCACCTACATTACAAAGTCAGTTGGAGACAAGCGTTATCAAGCTTAGCCTGTCAACGGGGAAGCTGTGGGAATGTTGTGATCAGTTTCTCTGGCCTAATTCTCTTGGGCAGGCTGTGATTTTTGTTAATGTTTTTCAGTCATTCTGTAGCAAAGATTCATATGTGCGCAACACTGCTGATGTTTTACAAGTGTGTTCTTAAGTAGACACTAGTCCTTCAAAATAACTTCATTTCTTTCATCTGTGGGGTTTTTTTTTCATCATTTTTATGTTTTTTATATTCAGGTTTTCTTACTCTGAATGGCTAAAGTGGTAGCGAAGTCCTAAAACTGCAAGGGAGTTCAAGAACTGTGAAAGTTTTCAGTCTTTCTAGTTAAAGTGCCTTAGAAACAGGTGGCAGAAAACTTGATTTGGTATTGTTACTTTGGAAGTGTTACTTCCTTTAATGGAATTGTACACTTCTACTTTGTAGTGATTCAGTAAAACTTAGGGGAAAAACAGGGTCTACTTCTGAGGCTTCAGGAAGGAATACAGATGTTCTGTTGAGCTCTTTCAGGCTTTCCTTCTGTTTTACAGAGATGGGTGAGGTGTTCTGGGTTTTTTTTAAATGAGGCTTTCATTTCCAAGTCACATGTGATAACTGAGAATTATTTGAGAACTGAACAGAATTCAAACACTTTGTAAACAAGAACAATGGCAAGATATCTAAAATCATAATATAAAGCTTGCTTTGTGTAACGTTTGTCAGAGGCAAAATTCAAGACTCCCTTATCTGACACATTGTGCCAAAAGCCCAGGAAACAAAGCACTGCCTTTGAATTCTGAAGGAGTTTCCCATAGTGGTTTCTCGTGGTTGATTTTTGAAGGCAGCAGAGTGCAGTGAGAGGCAGACACTCCCTCTGCTGTCTCTGCCACCACCTCCGGTACCAAGAAGCAGCGCAGATGCTAAGCCACCAGGAAGGTACTAAATGCCATGAAGTTCTTTATCACTGGAAATGAAATGATTGTGAGAGAAAGTTTTTCCTTTCCATTCCAAGGGATACAACATCCACAGCAAGTACATGGGTCTTCCTTCACCTCTAGAGATAGCTGCTGCTTAGAGAGGAGATCTGGTGACTCTAATTCCGTGAAAGCTTCAGCTTGTTTTAAGAACAGCTCTGTTTCAGGGAAGGTTCTGCAACTTCTGTCTTTTTGCGGAACTAAAACTTTCAGTGTAGAAAGTAAACTTTATGAGTGGAGCCCTTGTTATTAAATGCTCTCCTCTGAGGTCAATCATCTGCATGGCTACAGGCTGTGTTAAGTGCTTCTACCCTCTGTGGTCTGTTACTCAGAACTGAAAGCTTTGCTCTTCGGTTGTGAAGACAGTTCTGCTTTTCCCACGCCATGTGACCTACCACTCGGCCCTTGTTCGCCTTTAATCTTGGATTAGTCTGGAAATGCAAATGTAAATGTGGGTAAAAATCCTGTGACCAGAGGCTGTTGGTCAGAGCTGACGATCTGGTTGCCTGAGGTGGTTTCACCCTTGGTGTCATGGAGGTGGTCAGCGTGTGTCTTTGACCTCTGTGCAGCTGTGAAGAATTTCAGGTGTGGCTTGATGGTGCCGCTGTTTCAGGTGACTGTATATGTGAAAGCTGCTAGATTGTGCTGGCTGAGGAGAAAACAAGAAAATAAGCTACTGAAACAAGTATTACAGCATCTTTCCCAGAACCAAATTGCATGCCCAGCTCAGCACTCCTCTGCAATGAAGCAGGGAGACCTTGAGGGAACTTCTTCTCACTTACCCACATGTAGCTCCACTCTTGTAGCTCCTGTCTTTGACCACAGGGCTCTGGTAGGAGCCAGGAAGATCAGACTTTGGGCTGCAGGAGCAGTCAGCTGCTGAATGAAGCTACTCATTCTCTCTGCTGAAGTAATGTCTTACCACCTGATCAAAAAGAGACTAGAAATTGGCTTTGATACAAAGTGCGCTTTCCACTTGTGCAGGATGGGTCAATCCATAGACAGGGTTTCTGTAGCTATGTTGTTACTGTGTAATTACTCCCCACTCGTTATCTTTGGGTACTAATAGTGACAGAAATGCTGCGGTATCATAGGGAAGTTCAATAGTGACCAGCCACCAGTGCAGGACTTCTTTCTTGTCTCTGAGTTGATGGCATCATACAGTTTGGACAATTAAAACTTTGCATATAGAGACATGAGACTTTATTCCTTACTGATAGAGGAAGGGACTTGAGTTTCTTGCTTGAGGTAGGCATTTAATCTGTTTGACTTCAGGTTATGAGGCCTGATTACTAAGATATCAGTGCAGACATTTTAACTTTATCCACAGCTGTAGCCAGTTCCCAGGGTAGTTGTCTTAGTCTACAAAGCAGGACTTTGCTGTGAAGCAGTTGTGTACATTAAGTTCTTGTTGTGATGTGTTCTGTGCTAAACTGAAGATACAACAGGGTGCAAAACAAAGTGAATAATGTATTAAATTTTGAGCAAGGTTTTTTCCACCTCTGAAAATAAATCCTGTAATTTGAGGATTTCGCTCTTACCACATCTCTGCTTTGCTAAATTGGGTGAAATAGGGCTACTGCAAGCACCTGCTTATCAACTCATGGTTGCTTCACTGCCAAGATAAGTATTGTGAAAAACCGCTTGGTTCAGTTGCCTGTACTGGAGTGGCAGTGCAGTATAGTTTTCTGTTAGGAATCATTTTATCTCTATTTGAATATCTATGTTTCGCTCTTCTATGAAAGGATTAAAATTCTTAACTTTCCCCTCTTGTTTTCTTTTCCTCACTCCACAGGTGGTTTTTTGGAAAGATTCCCCGAGCAAAGGCTGAAGAGATGTTAGGCAAACAGAGACACGATGGTGCCTTCCTCATCAGGGAGAGTGAGAGTGCTCCTGGGGACTTCTCCCTCTCAGTCAAGTAAGTAATGCCCAGAGCAATCGTGTCATAATCGGGTCATCTACTGCGCATTTGGACTCAGGGGTGAAGGGCAGGTGGTCTTCAATGCTGAGGAGCAGGAATAATCTTCCAGATGCCCTATAGTGTTCCTGTTCTTCCAGTGATACTTATTCCCTCTTTATCAGAACGAATAGATGTGTTCTGGTTTTTAATGAGCCTACAGGGCTGACCTGGTGGCACGCTGCTGTCTGGCTCAGCTGATCTCAGGCACTATGTGTTGGTTGGTTTGTGGATCCTATTCCTCCTCCTCACAGCTGCAGAGTGCCCAGGGTGTGTGTGTTGTTTTTCATGTCGGGCACATGCTTTGGGGATATTCATGTTGTCTAGCACTGGGACATGGAGCTCTGAAAACAGAGACCTCTTCCATCTCTCACAACTGCATTTCGTGTTGGCAGATAAACTCAGTTTAATAACAGTGAAGTGAGGAGGAGAAGTTCTCATCCTTGAGTAACCTTACTAGAAGTACTGGCTGTTAACCAACAGGGGTTCCTGCTAGTTAGCCATGGCCCACAAATACCATGCTTTATCTTGCCCATCTGAATTAACTGTAAAATAGAGGTATTAGAAACTTGAAAAGGATATGTGACATAATTTCAACATGGTTTTGAGGGTGGGAGGGATTTCTGTCCTCAGCAGTTGCTTTTTGCTTTTTTCTTTATTTTCTGTAGTCTTCCCACTTCCTACCAGAAATTAACAAGATTTTATTTAGAATCCTTACAAATTTTTTGATTATTCATGCGCGATTCCTAGTTTGCTCTATTTTCTGTGGCTGTGATCTGTCTTGGCAGGACTTTTTTTTTTTTTCTGGTCATCTTTGGTCTCTAACCAAATTTTTGTCTTTCTGTATAGCAGCACTGAGTCATGCCAACAAACTGAATTAAAGCCATTTATTTTAAGAGATGTTTATATTTCTGTCTTGGGTACAATCATCTGAGCTGGAATACTAGATATGAATGGAAGCTTCATTCCAGAAAGTGCATTCCTTTAAGAAACAAAGTTATAGTAGCATAGCTCTGCCTCCCTGTTAGCTTAGTGTTGCCATCTGGTGGTAGTGTCTCAAATGTTTGGGGTTTGTTTTTTTTTGTTTGTTTGTTTAATTCAGAAGAATCTTTGTCCTGAACAGTGATCTGCAGGATTTGAAATGGTGAGAAGCTCTTGGAGTTCTCAGGTTACGGAAGGGAGAGCAGAGGCAGTACTCATGAGTTGTTTCATGTTAGCTTTATAGCCAGGATAGCGTCTGCATTTTCAGCCAGCGCATAGAAGCTGTGCATGGCAAGTGGGGAACAGTTGTCTCCTGTTTTTCAGTATTTTAGACTGAAGGAAAAATACTGATGTGCCATTTGTCTGGAAAATCCCAATGGACCTTTGGAGTTCCCCTTTTTTCAGAGTAAAATTGTTGGAAAAGTAGCTTCAACTGAATGCCGTCATCTGTCAGAAAGGATTGTTAACGCAGAATTGGAGTTGCTGCATTCCATGTGCAGCATCACCTTTCGAGCATTTTCTGTTCTTTGTTTTTGAAGGACCAGAGAGATCCTTTTGTTTTGCAAGACAGTCTTTTGCATGAGTCCGGACTGGCTGCCAAAAGAGACAATCCTCCCCTCCCTGTGGTGGTGTTTTCCCCCCCAATTTACTGGTACTGTTGTTTGGGAAGGTGGTGTGGAAGGCACCGTGGTTCAGCTACTTTAATGTGACCTTGCACTTGTACTGCAGACTCCATGGTATGTGTCCAAGGTATTCCGTGCACTGTCTTCAGCAACTCAGGTGACTGCATACATACATACATACATCAAAAAGTCCATGTACTGGATGCCAGCTGTGTGGCAATGTAGTGTAAAACAAAAAGCTGAAATACTGCATGTCATCCAGGATAAAGAGTGTTGTGACCCCAGAAATCCTTTACGAAAAGCCCTCAAGCTTCTGAAAATTCAGAGTAATTTGAAAAGCTGGTTTTAAACTGAAGTCCTATTATAAGAAAAGTGCATGTGAAGCTTGCAGCATTTTTTTTTTTCAAAATAAATTCAGTATTTGGATTCTCTGCCGATTTCTGTAAATACAATTGACAGATGATTTTCAGACATCTTTGTTGCAGCAACCAATTGGTGTCTATATTATCAGTGTCATTGGTGGTTTTCACTGTGCCCTGAAGGACCTTTTGGTTCCCAACTCAGTGCTGAGGATCCCAAAAGAGGAGTACTCAGTGGCTAATAGTGTGCTTTTTTTGTGTTCTTCATTCTTCCCACACAGGTTTGGAAATGATGTGCAGCACTTCAAGGTGCTTAGAGATGGGGCTGGCAAGTATTTCCTCTGGGTGGTGAAGTTCAATTCTTTGAACGAGCTGGTAGATTATCACAGATCCACATCTGTCTCCAGGAACCAGCAGATATTTCTCCGGGACATTGAACAGGTGCCACAGGTAAGAGAAGTGTCTTCATAGAATGAGCTTTTCAGACTATTGCAACCACGGTCCTGAAGTGCAATTGCATCTTAGAGTAAACGAATAGGGGTGGAGAGAAGCTGACCGACATTTTTATTGTCTGTGGAAGCATATCTTTAGATCCTGCAGGCAGAATTATACTGGGAAATAAGCTGGCTGTTTGTGCAAAGCCTGCCTGCTAACTCCTGGTCTCCCCTGCAGTTCTGGGAAGTGTTATTGTTGCTGCTTGAACACTGGGCTTGTCTTAATGTTTATAGTTACTGGTGCAGGAAGGTCATCTGATTCCCGTGATTTAAAAATGGGTTTACTCCTGTTTTAGGTTATAGTAAGAAAGTGTAGTTCTACTTGTACAGATTGATAGCCAGAACTGTACCCCTGTGGAGGCAGTAAAGCGTTGGTACTGGGCTTTCCTGAAGAGATGGTTACAGGTAGCAGCATATGGAACATCTCTGGCCTGCTGGTTTGGATCTAGCCGGTGCTGAGAGAAACCAAAATCTGCTGTTAAGTGCCAGCAGAGCAGCTTGAGTGTATCTGGCTCTTTGTTTTGTTCTGTTTCCCAGGGCAATCAGCATTTTATGTTGGATGTAACTGGATCTTTTGTCTATTTTGGATAAATCCTATTGCCTCTGTGTGCAGTGCTCTAGTTCTAGCTCGAAGACAAGGGGTGTGGAGCTCGTTCTGCTCTCTAGGTGCCACGGGCACACTTTTTGTTTGTGTGAATTAACATCTGTCTCTGCACTGTCGGGTCAGTGCTAAACAGAAAATGAGAACACAGCTGGCTGAAAATGACAAGCATGAAGATACCTTCCTAGCCTCACAAATTTAAGAATGCAAATGCATTTTAAATGAGCTGTTAGCTTTTCCATAAGAATGGAAGCATTTGCTGACCAGGCAAACTGCTCTGTGACAGAATTTCTTGATACTGGAGTTTTAAGGAAAGTGTGTAAAATGCCAACATCCAGTTTTTAGGGGACACTTTGCCTATCACAGTGTTGGGCAGATTAGTAATATGCTGTCTGTTGGTGAAAACAGGATGAATAAGCAAGAAGACCATTGTATTGCAGCAGAGTACAGATTTACAGTAGGTCATGAAGACTGGAAAATACTAGGAAAACATCTGAGTCATCTGCTATCATTATTTTGGCTCTTTCACAGAAATTTGACTTTTTTCTAAAGTCTTCCACAGACTATGCTTTCCTGTTCAAGCATCCTGTTACAGATGATGGAAGCTGGCTTGAAGGGAAATTAAACAGCCTGAATGTTTATTGTTAAACTCTGGTGTAAGTTAGCTCCTGCCTGAGCAAGCGTCTCCAGTGCTGTGGATGATTCTCACTTTGTGTATCTTTTTCTTTCCCTTTTCAGCAACCAACATACGTTCAGGCCCTGTTTGATTTTGATCCCCAGGAGGAAGGAGAGCTGGGCTTCCGCCGTGGAGACTTTATCCAAGTCCTTGACAATTCTGACCCCAACTGGTGGAAGGGAGCCTGCCACGGACAGACGGGCATGTTTCCACGCAACTATGTGACCCCAGTGAACCGGAACATCTAGAGATAAATATTAGAGATTATTTAAAGAAACCAGAGAAACAGTAAATACACATACAGAGCCTAACTGCAGCCAGTGACCTAAAATCACACGGCGATAAAACCTGAGTCATCTTTCACCGTGAGGTGATCCTCCTTCACTCAGTACGGAACTTCAGGGGTGGCGGGGGGGAAGGAGTTCAACTTACACACCAAAACGTATCTTTAAAAAAAAAAAAAAGAGAGAGAAAAAAAATAACAAATTTCCTCAGCTGCTCCTGGGTTACCCCCTTTCATTCATTCTTCTTGTTTCCCCCTCCTCCTCTGTCCATCAGTGCATGAAGTTTTAATGCCATATAAAGTCCTAGCCATGCAGTTAAAGGAAAAGGGAGAAACTCTGCTGGTATTTTCTCTCTCTGCAAACGGTCTTCATTTGACATGAAGGGACATGAGAGAAGAACCAAATCCACAGTCCTGCCTTTAAAAAAAAACAAAAATCATCAGTCTCTGCTTTTGCCTTCAACATTCAGCTCTTCTTGCCTGGGAAAGATGAGGTGTTAATCTAATTTTTATTGTCTCTTCTCCTTTGGCACTTTCTTCTGAAGCTCAGCAGCTTCCAAGCAGGGGAAGGGAGAAGAGTTTTGTGGCTTTTTGTTTCGTGTGTTTTTTTTTTTCTTTTGAGTCACAGAGCTGCTTTGAGAAACTCCAACGTACAACTGAAGTCTGTTAATGCTGTGCTGACAGCTTTTTTGTTTTTTCTTAAAGGTGTACGGTTGAGCACATTCTGTAATTTTTTCCATAGTGCCTTTCCCTTATTTTCTTTTTTATTATTTTTTTTAAGTTAAAAGGACTGTCCACAGTTTTTCAGAGGGGTTTTTTCTGCCTATGTGTAAATAAATACTTTTGGGGGAAGGGTGTAAAGGAGGGTGGTTTTATCAATGGACATTCGAGAAAAATCTACAAACAGAGATGGAGCTTTAATCTTAAGATTTGTCTTACTGTTCAACTTTCCTTATTCCGAGGAAAATTAAATCAAGGCATTCAAGTGGCAGCTTAGGCTGCTCAGAAGTGGGGAGCTGCAACCAGGAGCCTCAAAAGAAGTAAGAGAAAGGAGGAAGTTACAACCAGGGAAAATGAGGAAGAATATTTTGGGGAGGGAGGGTTAAGTGTGGAATTTGAGAAATAGCCCTGAGATGTCCTATAAAATGTACATTCCTTTGATGGAAAACTTCATAATGCAGAGAAACCTCAAGAAATAGTGCTTGAAAAAAAACTTTATGATATTAGTGAATGTTTCTATGTGATGCATGTAATCAGCCTGTCTCTTTGGCCTGGATAAGGGAATATTTGCAGTCGTGTTGCTCTTGAAAAGTGGGGTTGGCATCACTGTTCTCCAGTTTCTCCTCCCTCCTCAGGTCAGTGTTACTGTTGAAGTAGATTCCCCCACCCTGCTCCCCGTTCACAGCAGGCTGTGTGATGACTGTGATCCCCACCCCATACCATAATGGCATTTATTGTGGCCATTTGCTCCTCCACCAGAGCCGTGTGATCTTAAATTGGACAGAAAGGAAAGCAATCAAGCTGCACCGCTCTCTGTGCCAATCTTCAGTTGCATTATTTTTCCTTTTGATGGCCGTTTGGCTGGATCCCTTCACCCCACCAACGAATCCAAAAAACTGCAGCGGAGATCTCCTCCCGCCCTGCCTAAGCACGGGCAATCTTTTGTTGGAGGGTGCCTTTTTTTGTAATAAGTGTTACAAATGTTTTATTCCTGAGATGGACTCTGCCTTACACTTTTAATTTTCCAGCAGATGAAAGAGAGAGCTATCCTGTAGAGTATTACTTTCTCCCCCTCTCCTTGCTAGCTGTTACTCACTTTCTTCCTTCTTTGTAAAGTGATTGGAAAAGGAATCTATGGCATTCTACACCTGGACCATTTGATTGTTTCCTTATTTTGGAATTGGTGTATATCATGCAGCCTTGCAGACATATGTCTTGTGTGTGTATATATATTAAAAAAAAAAAAATCAGTGTTTAAATAAAAAAAGGCCTATGTACTTAATCCTTTAACTCTGCAGCAGCATTTGGTAGATAGTAATTAACTGTGAATAATAAATATACATTGAATTCTTCACTTGAGCATCTGTCTGTTATTTCGGTGAGCTGGCCCAAAGAGAGCTGATGGACCCAGTTTGTAGGATATGGAGTTGCTGCGGGAGGGAGACGCTGTAAGGTGTGCTCTGGCCTGAAGCGCTCCGACTCTTTAGCGCCGTAGCTCAGCCTCTGCGTGCCTGGTTGGATTCGTTCCTCTCTGAAGCCAAGTCAAGGCAGGACCGTGTCCCTGGGCTTGTGTGGCATTAGGGAGAGTGAGGAGGGGGACAGGAATGATCGTGTTGCTCCAGGACTGAAGACTCTGTATTCTGGGAGGGTGGCGGTTGGTTGGTTTTCTTTAAAGTTTTTTCCTAACTGCTCAGGCGCCCCGTGGTCCAGACTATACTGTCATAAGGAGCCAGTAACGGAGCACGACACCCCCGTTATTGCTTGTTCTTGGTCGTTCTGCTCAAATACCAGGGGTTTGTGGCTGCTCGGACACCTGGTGGGTGTTCCAGGAGTAGTCACTCTGGGAGGGTGGCGGTTGGTTGGTTTTCTTTAAAGTTTTTTCCTAACTGCTCAGGCGCCCCGTGGTCCAGACTATACTGTCATAAGGAGCCAGTAACGGAGCACGACACCCCCGTTATTGCTTGTTCTTGGTCGTTCTGCTCAAATACCAGGGGTTTGTGGCTGCTCGGACACCTGGTGGGTGTTCCAGGAGTAGTCACGGGCGGGAAGAAGAACATTTGCTGCTGCTCTCG